AAATGGCTGTTTTTAATAGCATGTTTTTGTAAAAATAAAAAATTAGATTTTGCTAAATGATGATTTCTAAATTTTTGAATGTATGTGACATTTAAACGGTGCATTTGTCAGGGCTCTGCCTTTCTCTCCCTTCTCTGCAGGTGGCTGGAGCTGACAGGTGGGCGTGGTACACACCTGTGGCTTGTTCAGCGGTGAGCGGCTCTGCTATTTAAGCAGCACTTTGACAGCTGATGGACGCAAGAGTGTTAACCTTGTTGGTCTTTTCTCCTTGTGAAAACCGTTCCAGTGTTTCCTCGAGCTCTGACGTCTTCAGTGGAAGTTCTCCGGTTCAGACTGTTCTGGATCTACCTCTGAATAATCCCTCCAGCTCCCTTGGTGGTACCAAGCCGGGCTGGAAAGCCTTTCAAGTCCATCTGGTTCCATCAGCTGCCCCCGGATTCCTCCTCGGCCGCTGCTGCTCGGGCCCCTCCTCAAAAACTTCCATCACCTGCCCACCTGTCGCTCAGTCACCTGCCAACTTCTCGGGAGGTTCCTCAGTGAGTCCGTCTCTCCACTCCCCCCTGCCCGGTTCCTTCATCCGGCGGTAGGTTTATTTAACGTTTCCCCTATCTCGTTCTCCCTATCTCTGTGTCTAACTTTGGCTCTCACCGCAGATCGATCAGTCCAGCCTGCGCTGATAGTCCACCTGCTCACCGTGCCGCAGCTCCCAGTGTTTGGTTCCCTCGCTGTTTAATTAAACGTCTAAAAATTGCTCTTGCCTTCTGTGTTGGTTCTGCATGTGGGTCAAGCACCTCAAAACCATGACACATTAAGCTGTGATATTTTTTTTAAGTAAAAGTATAATGAAAAAGGGTCCAATAAAAATAGGTACCAGACCGGAGCAGAATTATGACATAGAGACTGCAGATGACAAAAAATGGGGGATAGAGGAATAAAAAAAACTGAAAAAAAGAAAAACAGTTCTCCCAAACTCATGAAACGCTAAAATTCAATGGTCTCAGAAGCTGTCTAGAGGCAGTCTGAAGGGAACTGGTGATATTTCTGCTTAGTATTGGTCATGCTGAATATCCTGAGTTTCTACATGTCTTGAGAAGAGGAGAGACAATAAGTCATCTAGTCTAAACTAAAATGTTCAAATTAATTCTGGGGGAATGTGTTATAGGCTGAAGAAATCAGACTGAAACCTATAGTCTTAATTTAAAATACCCCATTTGGAACACTAGCTTTGGGCAACACTGGAATGACAGCAAACCCATAATGGAATAACATGGTGGCAGGATCATAGACTGGGATTGCTTTTCTTCAGATGGAATTTATATTTCTGACAAAGTTGTAAATTCCTAAGAAGCATTCCTTTTTGTCCTAAAATGTCCAGGTGTCTTCTAGAAAGCCATGGACATGGGTTTTCAGTGAATCAATGATCCAGTATGCTAAAGGAATCAAAATAAAGACTGAAAGTTTAACTGAATTAAAATAAGATGTGATTTACTTTTACTTGCTTGTCTGCAAAATTAATATACGCCTCCTTCTTATTGATTCTTTCAATTGTTTTAAGAATCTCTAAAGCAAAAGGAATAATGAAAAGAAATAATATAAAGTGTAAGTAGAAATAAAAAAAAACAGCCAAATAGCATGTTCAAACAGTCCAAAACCAAATTTACTCCCCTTATATAACAGCTGTAAATACTGAAATCTGAACCGGAGATTTTTAAAAATCCTAGTTTGAGCTATTGAGGCTTTCAACAGAGCTGCAGTATTTGATCATTCCAATGACATAATGTTCTGTGAAACAGGCTGATTTTGTATAAATATCCAGCATGTGTGAATTAACTCAAGTGCTCTCTCAGGTACAAAATATATATACTTTTCGAAGTGTAAAAAAAAAAATACAAGTCAAGCAACTATTAATAAGTCACCCATGAGAGCTGTGACAGAAGAACGTATGAGGTTGTTATTTGATATTTCTTCCAGCCTACAGCAGACGGCCTTAGACCACTTTTCTTTCTGTGAAACCTCAAACACACACGTGTGGTTAATGATGTGAGGAAAGAACTGATCTTTGACGGCTTATGTGGCTAAAATATAAAGGCTTTCTGATGTGAGCATGACCCCATGGCACATGCTGGACATGCAGAACAGCTGTAGTGACGTAACAAAGAAAGAAAAATATCTGAAGGAAGGAAATAATAAAAATGAACTCCATTTGCAGCCAGTCATTTATTGTTTTCGTTGCATCTGCACATACTTAACTGTTCTCAAATTGTACCCATTAACACATCATGATATCCTTTAAATTACCAGTGTATTAAAAAGAAAAACAGATCATAAAGCCTCAGTTTTTGCATAGACAGAACTTTTTGGACACCATATGAAAGTCATTGCTTTTGCAGCTTTCTCTGCATTTAGTTGTTTGGGATCAAACACTGAGCAGTAATATATATAAAAGTACAGCAAGCTATCTCAGTTGTTGGCATCTCTGGCTAAGACGTCTAATAAAACTATTAAAATAATGATTTTTATGGAGATATGTTAACCTTAAGCTGCATTTTTTCTACTATAACATCCTCCTCACAATGGGTGGTTTCAAGATAAATGTCATTCTTCATCCAGCATTGAGGTGAAAGATCAAATCATTTAAAGTATTGCTCCAATTCTAGATAAGGGCGAGTTAGAAAAATGCCGTTATTTTCTTGCCACTTTCTGTCTTGAGGATCCAAACACATATGGCTTACCCTAAAAGTATGTCCATTTCGAACAAAAGCTAAGAAAGTAATTTTCTTTTTTGTCAGATCATGTGTAAACATTAGGTAAACAGTAAGACCGATTACTTTGTTAAAGTTGAGAAGCATAAATTGAAAACAATATCTTTTCAGTATTTCCTAACATTAGATCTTTACTCCACTAAACATTTATTAATTGAAGGTTAGGATTTTTATGTTTTTTTTTTATTTAGCATTTTACAAAGACATACTGTAAGGTCTATCATAAGCTTTTAAGAGCAGTATCTGATTAACTTTGGCTTGTGTTGTTAATGCTGTTTGGAATTTTGTAAGTTAAGAGCTTAAACATTTCCTCCAGTGTTGGAATAGACTTATAATAATGATTCAAATTGATTTGCAATATTAGGTCTATTAAACAAGCCTTTCTGACATTTCAATTCTTCCATTAGGTTGTCATGTATAGAAACACGAGAGTTTGACCAACAATACATAGAACAACTCGGAATGATGATGATCACAGAAGACAAAGATATACTGCACATGAAGACCAAGATAGACAGACAGGAGGAACCAAAACAAAACTATGAAAACTAGAGAGCTTAAAGACTGAGGCAAGTGTGGAGAGTGACATTAGATTCAGATCAACTTAAGCAGGGGAATTAGAACAGGTGTGCAGGTGATTAAACCGCCAGACTCAAGTGAAAATATTAACCACGGACAGAAAAGACTAACGGTGACTTAACTAGATAAACCAAATTACAGACAACAAAACATAGGATGCATGTAAGAAACTACACATAGAGAAAATTTTAAAGTATGGCAAGACCTATATTAACAAAAGCAGGAATGAACTGAATACAGAAAGACCTTCAAAAAAATAGGGAATTCAGGAGGATTCAAAATACAAGTTAAAACCAAAATCACAGTGAAACAACAGGATTTGATTTGTATGATTTGTTTGTCAGCAGGATTATTAAAGTGTAAGGCACGTTTAATGAATCCTGCAAATGCAGAATCTATCCATGTAGTCAATCCGAACATCCAAGACAATCCTGGTCAATGTTGTGCATGAACGCGATCAATGAACGGCGTTCACTAAATACGTTCATATTTTTAGTGAACGTTGATCTGAACAGATCACTTTTTAAGTAATAAACGTAAATGAGAACGACGTTTTCTCTAAGAATAGTGAGCAACACATACAGCTCACGTTCATGTTCAATTTATAATGAGTTTTTTCATTGGATAACTTCAGGTTTTACTGCCCTTATTACAGCAAACAACATGACAGACCAGCATGTCTACTGCTAGTACTAGTCTGCGCGATTCAGACTCATCTTAGACGGAACTTTATTAATCCCTTGGGATAACTCATTCAGGGAAATTCTGGTTCCAGGAGCTTGTATAGAGTACAAAGGACAGATTTAACTCCATGAAAGGTAAAAATACAAGACGCAACATAAAACCAGTGTATATAGTACAAAAAGCATTAAAACAGGTTGTAATGTCCTGGAATACGTTTCCTTTAGATATAAAAATATCTATAGAGTAGAGAGCTAAAGGAAGACTACACAGTAGTTGACATGGATTATTGCACTTGCACTGCAGAAATGCACTGACTATATAAATAAGTAAAAATTATACAGACTACAAAGTAGTTGACTTGGATAATCAACTACTATGATGTCAGTTTTGCAGAGGACTTGGGAGAGGTTACGAACTAGACTCGGACATAAAAAAAAAACTCAATAAACTAGTCCGTACACCAGTCACATCCACTTCAAATATCTGCTACTGAATGAGAAATGTAAGAGATCATTTTTGATACAGATCAGCAGAACCTAAATAAAGGCTTCACTGCACATACAGTAAACCTTGACTGCATCAAGTATTTTCTATTTCTTTCTATATATTATAATCACACATTTAAAGGGTGAATATTGAGGTTCTATTGAGTAGAATTGTGGTTTAATTTACCAAATGAACTTAGTTAATTTATCGGTTTGTAAACTTAATTTTCGAACATGAGCTAATTCATTATTATCTGTGCGAACTTAACTTTGAGCTAGTTCTTTTTAATTATAAACTGTCACAAATTGATCCTGTAATATTATGACATCATCAGCTATTTGAAGGTTTGTGCAGCATACATTATTAGTTATTGTGTACTAAGCTAGACATACATTTGTTGTGAAATAACAAACAAGGCTAACATGCAATAATTTGGAGACACAAACATGGACTAAAGAGAAAAAACAAAATGTTCTAACTGGTCCTCACCTGTTCGATCTCCTCTGTCTCCTCGATCACCTTTCTCCCCTTTGAAGCCTCGATCTCCCCTGTCACCTGTGAACAACCAAAAAAATAGGATGACTTTAAAATGACAAGTGAATATTTTTTAAAAATTGATATGAGAACATGCTTACATCAGAAATGAATATAATACAGAAGGTTTGAGCAGATTTAATACCTGTTTGCAAATTAAAAAATCAACAAAACTCTTTTAGAACTGATAAAAAACCAGAGAAGGATTAAAATACAGCAGATTTTCCAGAGTATGTTAGTTCAGCCTTAAAGGTCAACCTTCTAAATTTGTAATCTATTTTCTTTATCTCATATCTACTGCATCTCCTTAAAGTTGTTTGGAAAATTTTTACCAGAATACTTTTAGTAAGCAACCATGTAATATAGGGCAGCAGGTATAAGACGCACAAATTAGAGGGTTGGAAATGTGTTTTATTTGTCTCTAAAGAGGTTAACCACAAAGAAGCAAACCAGAATAATTCTGTAAAAACATTCTAGTATTGACACATTAGATTTTATATGTTATATTGCTAAAAATCAAATTAGTGAGGTGGATATCACCTTCTTTGTGATTGTTGTAAATTTATGACACCTGTACCTACAAATATCCCTGCAGTCAGAAGCACGTCATTCCTCTTTTTTATTTAAAAAATATATGTAGCCTAACTCTTTGACAAAATGACCAAAACCACAAAACTGTTTCTGCGATGGAGCTATACAGAAATATGGAAAAAACTGGGCTTTTATCCAAACTTCAACATGATTTCCTTTTTATTCATAGGCCGGCAGTGGAGGTGTTGGTGGCGGTGGACCTCAGCTCTGCCACCCAAGTTTTATGGCCTGTGTTTGGTACAAACAAGCTGCCACACCCTGCGTATGATGTGAAGAGTTGTCAGGGCTGGATGTCTTTTGACCACATCCTTAACAACTAAATTACACAGCAGGGAAAACACAAACACCCCATAAGCTACTGTTGAGCCACAAAAATACAGCGAAGGATCAGATTTAAGATCTACAAAGACAGTCTATATTTTGGTGGTCCTGAAAGATGGAAATGGGAAAACCATGTTAAGTAAACTCGTTTAGACTTCCAAATAACAAATATTTATGTTATATTTTAACACTTAACATTAAAGGTGCTGTAGGAGATATTGGAAAAATGGTTATAGCAAGCTATATTTTTGAACAACATTTTCGCTTTTATTATCCTGTTGTCTGCAGTTTTGATTACGGACATGAAAAACGCTTTCCAGCCAGTCACCTCCGCCGCGGCAAACTGCAAGGAGGTGACCGGGCCAAAGGCTGCTGTTGAATGGGATTCCTGGTGATAACGCACCGCCGGTGTAGGGGGTCTGAGCAGCTCCAACAGAAAAAATATTTGAATGCAGGATGGTAATCTGGATGAATTGACTTCCCTGACCATGTTTTTAGGGTGGACTTTCTCATTTCAAAATAGATTCAAACTACTTTATACCCACTGATCAAAGCAAATATAGCTGCCATTGTTACAGGCAAAGACAGTATAGGGTAGCTCCGCCTAACGTGCATCAGACCCAGCACCACTGCGCAGCTAGAGCAGCAATTGGGATTTTGGTCGACTACAGTGCAGCACATAGTCAAAACAGGGAGCAGCAATCAACACGACCCCCCAGAAAAAAAGTGTCCTCCTTTTCAGAAACCAAAATCTGGTCACCCTGGCAAGGGTGACCAGATTTTGTCAGAACTAAACTGGTACAAGCATAAAAAATGAAGCAGCATGCGCACTTTGCTGCTCTTGCTGCTTTAGCTGTGAACGTAGCATAACAGTGGCTAGCTTCCGGCCATGGCGTACTGCGCGAGCATTGGGGGATCCATTCGTTCAAGTGTCAGGGTACGCACGCAGGGGGGAGGGACAAGCAGAAGACCATGATTGACATGGCAGGAACCAATCAGGTACAACGAACCGTCATTTGTGATTGGTTGGGTTTATTCATTGATTTCTCACTGTAGAGGGGACCATTTATTTGAGTTTCAAGCGGCTGTGGGGAGATCGGCTAAGCGGCTGTGGGGAGATCTATAAGAAAAGATCTCCTACTGCACCTTTAACATTTTTACACTTTGGGTAGTTTTATTAAAAATTACAGAAAAACTGGTGAGCGGCTAAAATAAAGCAGCATCAGATTGATACGGATACATGCTTATGTCTATTCTAGTCAAATTTGAATCCCGTTTGAGCTTAATAAGCATGAGTTTGAAATGAGAAAGAAATGTGAGAAAAAAAGAAATTCATAGATGCATGGAGTTAGATCAACATTCATGCAAAAAAACTGCCAATACTGTTCCTCCATAATAGAAATAAATATTTTTATTATCTAGGCAACAAAGGAGATTATGAAAGAAGTACATGGTTAAACAACCGTTTTTTTGTTCTTCTCTACCCTCTCTTTCAAATATATAGTATATAGAGGTTGAATTGTATGTTCAGAGTTTTGAAAGATCTTCTGGGATGATTCATAGACAAAGAAGCCCTCTATAACATGTGATGCATCTCCCCGTTTTTTCCCTGGCTCTTTGGAATGTTTAAAAGAGGAGTGGCCACAGTGAGCTAAAACTTAATCAGGCCCACATCAGATAGAAAGTGGTTTAATTAGAGCAATTTACTGTAACCCTTTTGGTACTACAAGTACTACTTTAAAAAAATTACCATAACAGCTCAGCTTTAGTAAAAACTCCGCTGGCATCAGAGCAACTGGGCTACTGCCATGAACACCTTAAATTAAAGGAAATAGATCTGGGGCTGTTTTTCAGTCACATTTTTTTCCTAGACATAGTTGTGAGCTTTTAATGTGACTAACTGTATGTTAGTAATCACAACCCCAGGGGGAGATCCCCTGACCCCTCAGTGCAGGAAGGGCACTAGCCAAAAAAAAAAAATGTAATAAAAAGCCATACATTTAGGAAGGACACCTGCACACAAATTCCACTTACAAAAGAGACTAGAATGGACAATCTTAGCCAAGTGACCAAGCAGGTCACCAGACAGCCCAACCTCAGGCAAGAGGTGCAACATGATGTAAATGCTTAATAAGAATTCTCCATCAACCAACACAACATTCTGCAAAATCTCCTTTTAATACACACACACCTGTACTGCACATCTCAAGACCATGTCTGTCATCCCTGCGAGGAAAATGCTTTATTCTGCTGCCTTGACTGCCTGTCTCCTTTTTCAAATGTCAGGATCTGACCCAGCATGGATAAAGACAGGTAGGAATGATTTAAAGCACTTTTTAGAAAACGCAAAGAAGAATGAACAATCTGGAATTCACATAGAAAAATTTAGTGTCATTTTCTAATCGTGTGTTAATTTGCATAGTTGCTATTAAATAAACACATTCTCAAAGAAAAAGTTTTTATATATTAAAAGAATATAAAGCTGACTAACAGCTTCTCCATTATTAAACTGGTACATTTTTTCTTGAGGTTTGTGACACAGTATTGAACCAAACAAAACACAGATTTGCCTTCAAAATATATGTACAAAAAATAAACCTGTACATGAAATTATGTTTTTGTTTTTATAAAGTGTTTTTAACTATGTATTTTTCTTTTGTTGGCATTAATATTAATAAACTGGTGTGATAACTTAGTATACGTTTGATTGGTTTTTGGTATACATCTATTTTGTATTTATAGCCACCCCTGGAGAAAAATCCAGCAGCCGCCAGTGCCCTCACTGATTTGGCTGTTTGTATTTGTTAAGGAATTATCATTTTATCCACCTGCAAGTTGTCACAAACAAATGTCTGTAACCAACGTGAATTGTAAACGTAACAAAAATTTTAAAGACTGACAAAAAACATGCTTTACTTTGACTGAAACACGGAGCTCGTGCCAAAAACGAAATCCCTAACTGTTCCCATCGACTCATTACTTGTCTTTGAGATTAAACCATGAAGCTTCCCAGTGATGTTTTTACAGACATTTTATTTTCCCTCATCTCCTCAGTCTGCTTAATGTTGGGGCCCTGGTCATACAAGAAGATCTACAGACTCTTCACTCTCCAGTCTGTAAAATAAAAAATGAAGTGTTCAGCTGGAACAAATAACAGAAACTACATCTGATCTTTCTTTGTAATAATCAATAAAATTGTCTATTACTTGTTCAGCCAAATGATGTAGACCCAAAGAGCTTCATTGCAGGCAACATTAACATCATGTTTCTAAGCTAGGATGATCACAACCCTGAAGCTAGTTTTTCTGTTTTCTTTAATTTATTCTACCAACAAGAATACGCTCGGGTCACTGATTGCAACATGTGGCTATGATTTGCAACAATAGGCCATTTCCTCTCATTCTGACGTGTCACACTAAGAAAACAAGCAGCGGAATCACAGGACAGCTGCTGGTGATATATGATGTCTCTTGGTGAGCTCTGTTTGTGACGGTTCACAAACACTGCCGTTGTGATTCAAGCCTCTTACTGTGAAATATGTCAGCTGTTCCAGGTAAAAGCAACAAAACAGCAGCTGTTTATGGCACATCAGTCTAAGCTTTCCCAAACAGTATCTTGGACATTTACCTATGATTTTGTCATTAAAGCAGCAATTGGTTAGGATGAGTTTTGACTAGGATGAATCATTATTTTTTAGAATATTACCTTTCATTATAGCTGTAAAACTTACCTCTACTTTCTCAAAAAGGGTGGCAAAATGCCAAACGGTCTTAACCATTTTGGTTTGTTGTGTTTTTGTCCACTTTGTTTTATCACACAGGAGGTTGAACCAAATGCAAAGCTGTACAAGTTGAAATGTTTCTCTTAATGGAAATCTTCCAGAGTTTTCAGTGCAATCTTCCCAGCCACTTATCATTTCACTGGAATAAAATGAAAATGTCTTATCTGGTTCAATTTAGAATATGCAGTTTCCAAGTTTACCAACTGTATATTTTGTCAGATGGTTCAGCTCTTTACTTGCTGAACTCTAAAAGAAAATGTGCAAGACTCAGCCCAGTAGTAAGCTAATGAAGGCCTTCTTTGTTGCAATAAAAAGGTACTGTGATGTAACGTGTTAAGTCATTATAGCTGAGTAGCTTAAAATAAACATTCATTTCTATAACTGCATTAGTAGTACAACATTTCTCCACTAAAATATAATAGTTGGCCATTATCCAGATAATACTCTGTTCAGATCCAGATTTATACTGAGGTCCACCAGTTAGGGAGCTCTATATAAGCGACATCATGAGAACATGGATATGGAGAAGCAGGCAATTGAAATAGTTTCATTTGTGCAAATAAATACGCAATAAAGATGGAATCGAGTCTTAAACTCACTGCTGGACCGTATCAAAATGCATGGAACTGCAGGTTTTTCAGAGATCTTGGTAAACTGTGAGACCGAACATTGGACATTTTGACTAATCCAGCTGTGACTAACAACAGCTGTCGGCTGGGCAAAACACACACATACTAAAAACTCAACAGTTGCTTATCCTCGCTCTGATTCCTTCATCAGAATTGTGTTCTCGTCCCTTGGGTGTTTCGTTATTACTGGCACGGCTCAGCAATGCTGGATTCAGTGTGATATCTGGATCTTTCTGATTTGTAAATTCCAAAAGATCCACAAAAGCCAAAGGTAATAAAGACAGTTAAGGTTAAGAAATGTTTCACTGTAGTTGAACAATCCTGCATTTAGATGTTTTTGTGGAATTTAAACACTGAATGCTTTTAAACTGAAAACAGAATTAATATTAAGCAATTCTTAAACTAATAAATGTTGGAAATATTATGTGTTAAAACAATTGTATTCTGAAGTTGTAAAAATGTATGAGGCCATAAAAAAAAAAAATATTAATATTATAATATGGAGTTCTTTTTTGTTAAGGATTAATATGAGCACTTAATAATGAGTTAATGTTTTACATGAAACAACAAATTTTAAAATAAATTATTATATTAAGGAATAAAATATATTTTTTAATATGTTCATTGGTCAAAAAAAAACTCCCAGTCAGTTTTTCCTTTAACCAGAAAAAACACGTGGTCTAACTTTTTTTGTTGTTGTTTTATTTGCACTGGAGGAGTTATGAGACGGCTGAACAGAAATTGGATTAGCAGGAACAGCTGTCATGCTAGAATAAAAATTATGTGGCTTTGTAAACAGTTGCACATGCTAGAGACACAAGTAGTAGTAAACTTTTTAGTTTCCATGAAATCCTATTAGAGATATATTTCACAAAACTATTCGTAAATGTTTTATGAAATTTTTCTGAGCCTGAAAATTGTTTCAAGGAAGAACATGTTGAAAAACTTTAACCCTTAGTGATAAAATATATGAAGAATTGAGAGCTTTTTCAGATTTCAAGGGTGTTGAAATCTGAAAAATGAAACGTAAGAAACTGCTGCAGTGTCCTATATATGAAGCAAAATAAGTCCCAAGTAAACAAAAAAATGTACCTCGGAATTCTGAAAATCTTTGTAAATGTGTAATGTCATTTCTATAAATTTACAAAAAGTAAAAAAAACCCTATTCATTACATATTGAGAAATACACACATTTTTTTTTTAAACTTGGACCATAAAGCAGTCTTTACACTTTAAAAGGTTACTGTAAGTTCAGCAAAGTTAAATGTGTCCTGCCTGGTTTGGCATGAATTGTTGGGGTTCAACTTTGTACACATCTTGGCTTGCTTTGGTTAACATGGTTTTTGTGTTCATCACAGCCTCGGTTCTCCATAAGCTCCATACATGCTGTGTTTAATTGCTGGTGAAAAGCTTGTTTAAATTGGTTGCCATTGGATTCTTCTGGTATTTTTCAACAGTTAACCCAATAATGTGCATTATAACACATTGCCCTAAGTTTCTGTATCTTAAGAATGTTAATTAATATATAAAACAACAGCAGGTTTTGACACAGTTTGAAGGCAATGCAACAACCAGACAGTTTTACTGAAATACTAACATAATTATTAAGCCCAAAATTGCACCCTTCCACACTATAAACAGCACAAATACCTGCTTTACTGACCATGGTAACACTTAGACTGATCTGCCAGCTACAGAAATAGGCCTGACCTTAAAACCACACAGAAAATGAGTAGATAAAATTCCAGAAGAAGAAGCGACATCAAAACCAACAATGCAGAGGAGTTTTAGGCTAAGATTAAAACAAACCTTGGCTGCTTTAGAACCATAAACCTCCCCTCGCTCTATGTGTGAATAATATATAGAGTTTAATGAATGGGTTTCAAATTTTGAATTGAATTTTAAAGAAGTTGGATTTAAAGAGAATAAAGGTTTGTAGCATCTGGTGTTACACTTCTCAATTCATAATAACCAAGAAAAAAAAAACAAAAAAACAAAAAGTCATTCCCTTGATTGCTATATTTTCTGTCTGAGATAGACCCAGATACAGACATGATGTTGGCAGGCACATGTAGGAATCGGCTTAAAAATGTAACAACAACATAACAGAACATAACAGAATGACAGGAAGTAAATCAGGATATCAAACCAGGGTAAAAAAAAAACAAAAAAAACAGAGATATTCAGTAATTATTGATATAACAGAAAGACAGTATAGACCAGACATAAAATTTGCTGTTTCACGTTGGGGAAATTCAGGAGAAGATGAAATTACACGAATAATGCCAATGCACATAAATAAAATTGGATTTAAGCAAGGAGCTGAAAGCATGAGGTGTCTATGAAAAGTTGAATATGGAATGTTCTGTGCACTACATTATCTAACTATAACGGAAAGACATAAAGCTTAATAAGCATAATGGTACAAAAGGAACTTCAGGTCATAGAGATAGATTATTGTACCTTTAGGCCCAACTGGTCCACGTTCGCCTTTCTCTCCCCGTGGGCCATCAGCCCCAGGAGATCCTTTTATTCCCTGTGTGCCTTGCATTCCTTTGGCTCCTGTAAATCCTACAGCAACAACACAAAAACAAAGCTTTAATCACATTAGGTTTTAATGGTGCAATGATATTCAACTTTAGGCTTAATTGGCAGCATGACAGTAGAAAAAATTCAAGAAATTTGTATTTTAATTAAATTTATATTGTTTACGATATAAGTCTCGGTCCTTGAATTTTGTGTTGAGATGGATAAAAAGGAACCTCCAAAAACAAGTATTAAAACCCACTAATCCTCTATCATTTAATGGAAAATTTGGATTTGGAAAGGCTCAAAGTTTTCTTTGACATGTGCCAAAACGCCAATTTCTTTCTCATTGCTTCTTTTAAAACCATGGCACAAACTCAGAGCATTTGTTGATGGTAAGCACGATCAGATGTCTCTAAATTATTGTGCTAATGCCTTGTAGATTGCAGCTCTGAAGTCAGCTTTATTATTTTCAAATGTCTTTGTGCTCCGATTCGCTCTGATTGCACAGTTGTGACAGACTGCTCGGAAATGTGAGTGAGAGGATTAGATTAAAAGCATTAGAGCAAGAAAGGTACAATAAACTGATGATGCATGATGTCATGTAACAAAGCAGTTCAACAACCCACTAAGAAAACGCTATCAATCACAGTTTGGTTCCGTAGCAAAAGTGTTCTTAGTGCTCTGTAGGTATATTCAACTGGATCACAAAGTAGAAAGAGGGTGGATGTGATGAAAGGCTCTTGGCTTCGATGTAAATGGAGAAACATGAGTGTCTAGAGTAATATATAAACAAATTGTCTCAATCTGAGTTTGTTTTTAAGTGAAGCAGCCTGGAGTACTGAAAATGACATCTTTAAGGTCAACACACTTCCCTCCAACTTCCTGCACAAGACTTACAACCCCACTGCACTTTGGCAGGCAACTTGTTTTCTAATAGAAATGCATTAAAGGAAAAGGAATCAAAAAATTTTTTTTAATGCTCTAAGTATGCATGGCCTAGCCATCCCTTTGTTTGGTTTTGTCCTCTCAAACTCAGAAAGTGTAGGCAAATGGCTGCCAATTCTAAACCTGATTTTGATTAAATGAAGTTGCCCTAAGCCAGTTATCCATTTCCAACTGCTATTTTATATTTTATTAGATCTTAATGTATGGAATTGGAATGTACTGTAGTTGGTCTTAATTACATTTAAGATATTTGTATTTTAATCTGAACTTGAATGTATTGGATCAGTTTTTAAGTGAACCGTTTAAAAAAAGAAAAACAGGAAAAATGTAAAACAAAATGTATGTAACTACTTGGTGAAACAAACAGCACCATGAAAATAAAAAACACAGCAAAAAGTTTGAGAAGTTCGAGAAGTTTAAGTTACAACCACTATACATTTAGGGAACCCTACAAAGAAACGGAATGGAAACCTACAAAGAAATAGATGCCAACATTCATTTATAGGAAGTTGTGAGGATAATATTAATTTATGAAGAAGCTGCAGAGATTTAAAGCTCCTTCGAATATTATTTTTGTACTCTACAAATCAAATCTTTATTGATTGGTCTGAGGGGAGACAGCAGAGTGATCAGGAAGGAGTGGTTGATGAAAAATTATGACTTGATTACTCGACAGAAGAAGGGGAGGTAGCATGGATCTGTAGGGGATTGATTCAATGGGCTGTAAAGACTGTACCCCAGAGGACCAGGAGAATTTGATCCAAGAAAGTTAGTACTTGCAAGAGACGTTGTGCTGGAGAGGTGATGAACACTGAGAGCAGCTGTACAAAGGTAAGAGCTTTTCCATTAAGATTAGGGAAGAACTGAGGTTCATTGGTAGTCTGGAACAATAACAGAGTCCACATTAGAAAACATTAAATAGAAGACAAATTTCAACAAGAAAGATATTCCAGGTTTAGATCTTTGGCTGGAACACCGTTAGGGGTTAATCATCTGATGAAGAGAGCTGATAATTTGTCTCCTTTAATACACTCGAGTCATCTTGATTGAGACATGTTCTCAGGTGTGCCACAACACGGGTTGGTGCAACCACCCACAAAGATCTTCTCTGTGACAGGAAGCTCACCGACACCAGAAAGACAGCAAAACCCCAGAGACCCTAAAAATACCCCGCTTTCAAGGAAGGGCGAGAAGCCCAAAAGTCCCGAACAAGGTCACTGTCCAAAATAGAAAAAGAAGGAATTCAAAACTGTTCCTCAGGGCCATAACTTTCCCAATCGACCAGATGCTGAAAACCCCGTCCTTTCTGACAAGTATCTAAAATCTTTCGTACAGTGAAGGTTGGGTGTCCAGCAATGTCTCGGGGGGGTGGAGGGGGACTGGGAGGGGGGCAAAGAGAACTAGACAGGACAGGCTTGATCAGAGAAATGTGAAAAACAGAATGAATCTTTAAATGATCGGACAGCTTGAGGTGAAAAAAAGAGCGACTGAGCGCTGCCTGGATTTTAAATGGACCCATTAATCTGGGAGAGAGTTTGTGACTAGAAATCTTTAGGTTAATGTCATGAGCTGACAGCCAAACCTTTACTCCAGGTGAGAACCGGGGAGCTGAAATCCATCTCCAATTGTCCAGACGACTATTTGTTTCAACTGACTGGTTCAAGGCAGAAACTGTCAGGTTCAAGAACGGTCTGCAGCGCAGAATGTGGTGTTTGACAGAGGTAACTGCAATGGGGTTAAAATTCTCAGTCAACTATGTCATAGTCATACCAAAAACGTTAAAAAAACAATCCACTGGACATTGTTTCCAAGTTTGAAGACATTTCGTTACCCTATAAGGAAGCTTTTTCAATTCAAAATGGACACTGGTGGTAACAGTAAACAGCAGCCTCGTTTATGTCATCGAGCTTCCCTGGGGCTACAATGTAGTTTACCACCATCAGTGTGTGAGTGTGTGCCTGAATGTGTGAATGTAGTGTAAAGGGCTTACTTGAAAAAGCGCTATATAAGTACAGAATATTTACCATTTTAACCATTTTTAAAAGAGATTCACAAGAACACAAATTTCAACAAGAATGATAATACTGGTTTAGGTCTTTGGCTGGAATCCCATCAGGGGTAATCATCGGGCAAAGAGAGATGATTGTTCGCCTCCTTGTGTACACACTCGTCATCTTCATTGAGGAATGTTCTCTGTTGTGCAGCAGCATGGGTTGGCTCAGCCACAAGCAAAGAGCCTCTCTGTGATAGGAAACTCACTCACACCAGAAGGAAGATGAACAAACTTCTAAGGTATCTAGCTTGTGCAAGTAGTCGCTTTCAAATTTTTTTTACAGTAACTGCCTGAATCTGGAACAACAACACAGGATGATACAGTATAATGGCATCTCTTCAATATATTGTGATAACTTCTACATTTTAGTGACAAAAAGTTGACAAAATGAGTGAGAGAAGACAGCTGCTGCTTGTTTATTTGTGGTGCTCCTGGAAATGCCCCGCCCCACCAACACTACATTGTTATGTTTGATTGCAGATGTTTAATTACAGCAGCAGTTTTACAGTAAACGATGATTGCAAACCACCAAATTTTTAGTCATACCATTAAGAAAGAAAAGCAAAAAAAAAAAAAAAAGACTGACCTCAGGGATCCTCAAAGAGTGTTTTAGACAAGAATATACAACTCCAAACACAACATCTGTTTGTTGAAGAGACATGGATTATCTAAATTGTGAAACATTACACTGTTAGAATCCCCTTATTTATCTCTGTGCTGATGTCCATTGCATCTGCCAAGTTTTCCTTTTTCTGTCAGCAGCTTCTTTGTTATGTTTGTTTTAATAATTATTCAGCAACACAAGCAAAACACATATACAAATAAAATCCTTTGTTTTTTAATCTGTATTGATTTGGGAAGATTTTCTGCAATCAGAGAATACCTTAAATGATCAAAGACCATAGAAGATAACGGTAAAGAGAAAAAGGTACATGTAGCAGTAAACCCCATATAGACATGTTAAACAACTGCTGCATAGTCCTTTTAGAACATCCCTTCAAAATAACTATTATTAAACATGTTCTGACCTAATGGAAAACTGGTCTATACCAATGATTCGGGTGGCATGTCTGCAGTATATGATATGTTTGGGTCCAAAACGTCAGAACATAGCGAGACTCTAACTATGAAAAGTGACAAATATTAAAATTTGCTTTAATTATTGCTGATTGTATCTGAAATTATAGATCGGTACATTGGAAAACTTTATTTAAGGGATTCCAGTTTCCTTAAAACCGCGGTTCTCAAAGTGTGTGGCGCGACCCACTGGTGGGGAATTGAGACGTGACAGGTGGGGCGCGCCAAGTTCCGGTGTGTGTGTGTGTGTGTGTGAGACTATAAATGTAGAACGTGTGAGAGCAAACTGTCCTTATAGCTGTATGTTGCCGCTTTTTAGACCAATCAAACCCACAAAGTAATCATTACTAGCCTACATGCAGTCTAATTAAAAGAACATTAGATATGAGAAAAATTTCACCTGGAACTGAAGTGCCAAAATAATGATTGACGTGACGTCAGCATATTATTTGTAACGGAATAAACTTTCTCGCCCCAGTGTTGCCAACTCAGCGACTTTGTCGCTATATTTCAGACCCCTCCAGCGACTCTTTTTCAAAAAAGCGACTAGCGACAAATCTAGCGACTTTTGGAGACTCTTACGGGAAAGCACGTATCGTTCCTTTTCTTGTCCTCCAGCGGCAGGTGCTGCCGTGGGGCGCCTCCTCCCTCCCAACCCCGTTCTCCCCCGCTATCGCAGGAGTCCCTCTCAGCGCTGCAGTAAGGGACACAGCATGTTTAACTTTAGCGTCCAGACTGCAAATAAAGCGCACATGCGCCGGGATTGACGGCGCAGGTTGATCATAAATAACTGAATTTGAAATATTTTATCTTAAATGAATAACGGCGTTTGATTCACACAGCCACATGTTCATGTTTCTGGTTTGGAGTGGAGAGGGAGTATCCACTCATCGGGCAGAGAGCTGTGTGCATTCTTCTTCCCTTTGCCACATCATATCTCTGTGAGATGGGCTTTTCAGCTGTTGCTTCACTGAAAACAAAGCATGACTTGAGAGTGGCAGTATCAAGGCTGCAACACCGTTTTGAGAAACTGTGCAATGCAAAAAAGGCTCATTGCAGCCACTAATGCAGGGATAAATAGACCTGCCTTGCCAGATGGATTTCACTTCTTTTCTTTTATTAACAGATTGCAGAGTGGCACTTTAATTTTTTCTATCTTTGAGCTTGATACAAATTTTGACACAGCTGCATTTTTATTTTCTTTATTTTTGAGCTTGCTGTTATTTGATGTAGATAGTTTGTATTTAGATACTACTTGTTACTTCAATAAAATTGGAACATTTTAAGATTGTTTCATATTTCATTAGCATTGTGTTGGGGCGATGGGGACAGGCGGGGCTTGAAAATTCCCCCTTGTCCAAAGTGGGGAATGACAGAAAAAGTTTGAGAACCACTGCCTTAAAACAAACGTCAATGTAAAAAAAGTGTGATTTATTTATTATGTATTTATATATTTGTATAACTTTTAACAGAGATCTCTTCTCCAATAAAGACAAGAATGATAGAGTTATCGGGCTTTATTGATTTTACATGAAAAGTTAGCTTCTTATTTTCTTCAATCTGTTTTGTATTAACAACAAAAAAAAAGCTCTTCTTTTTGCTGTTGAGACATTTCCTGGAACCGTTACAGCAGATAATATTCCCCCCAAAAATAAAAGTGTGTCTTGGAAATGTTTGGGGATGCAACAAGAGGACAGGTACCTGCATATATGCAGTCAGTCTTTCAAAAAGTAAAAAAAAGAGCATCATGGCTCTGATATCGAAATTCCTTTTGGATGAAGATTGATGCTATGTTTAGCAGGATAATAAAGAAGAAGATGGATTATCCATCCTATTGGCCCCATCTGAAAATAAATCCACACCCAAAGTCTGGAACGTTGCGTTCTTAATATATATAGGTGACTATTTAAGCTGTCCACACTCTACATCAGAACTCAATGTAGTAACAGCAGTGAAAACAATGTGTGTGTTTGGAGGGTGGATTCGCTTGTGAAACTAATCTCTGGTCTTTAAATTTCCACCAGTCCTGCTATTCAGTCATGAATCTTACCCTCCCCCCCATATCCTCACAAATCCAAAATAGGCTGTTTGTAATCAATGTTTACAGGGTAGTGAATTAAAATGACTCAAAACTATTCAGCAAGATGTTTTGAACAACATTTCCTAACCGTCTTTACTGTGCAAACATATTAAAGCAAAATATACTGAAAAGCATTGCATATACATAAATGTATAAAAAAATAAATAAATAATGGCACATTTTTCTATCTGGTTGTTCTGCTAAGATTGAACAAGTCAAGCTGTGGCTAAAATTATTCTTATATATATTTTTTGACTTGCCACCGAGCAATTGACCTTATTTCGATATTGAGGCTAGTCTTTAGATAGGAGTCGTTAGATCCTGATTTAGACCATTACATTGTGTTCAGGTTTGGATTGGATGAGGCTGACTGCCTCATCTAAAAATGTTCAAAGATGTTGATTTTTTTTGTGTAGAAATGGCAGTTAAAGCTTCACTCTTAATTTGAACAAATTTCTTCCTTGGCTGGGTTATGGCAGTAAAAGTATATTCAACCAACAAATGTACTTGTCTTGTTGTTTAAGAGCAAAAAATCAGAAACAAGATTTGTAAATATATTAAGGTATCTGTAATTAACCAGCAGTTGTAAACAGCATGCATTTAATCTAAAGGATATAGAGGAGGCAGTCTCTGGGGAAAATATGCTTCCTAGAGCCTAACACCAGAGACAGAGTTCAGTTCAACCAATTTAAACCAACATACCTTGATAGTCGATATGTTCAATGGTACTGTATGGCTTTACCCACCTTGCAGGCCAGGGAGCCCAGGAACACCAGGGACACCTATTTGTCCAATGTCCCCCTTTTCTCCTTTAGGGCCTGGAGGTCCTGCACAGAGAAGTAAATATAAAAAAAGCTGTACTCTATCAATAGTTTATACAATGTACAGATGTGGTGCCTAACAGAGACATAGCAGTTACATTTATGGTCAGGGCAAGTACCAGTTAGTGATATGACACTATACCAATGTTTTAGAAAGCATTTAAACCATACCATCTGGGATGTCTGAATGAATCTATTAGATACCAGAGAAAGTGTCAAAAGTTATGCACATTTTCTCCGGTTGAATTGAGTTAAGCAGCCCTGAGCACTAGCCACCTTTGTAGCAATCACTGTCATTCAGCTAGCTGAGGAAAGCTCTTTCACATTTCCTTTGTGTACAAGATAGATGCTTAGAGATATGAAATAACAGTATTGGTGCTGGAAGGATATGAGAGCTGCCCATTACTCTTGTTAAGGCAACACTGTTTTTAACACACCTGGTAAGCCATAGTCTACAGAGAGTAATTTAATAATCAAAAAAGGTTTATCATGAGAAGGATACAAAAAATGACATTCTATGGCATTGGCAATACTGGTCACCACAGAGATGACAAACCTGGAAGGCTGCCTACAGCAACAACAAAGTACTTTAAATAATTTATGTTGTACTAGATGTGTAGCATGTGCTGGTGAAGTTTCTCAGTCATCCAGGTCATTGTCATTTCAAAAAACTTTAAAAAAAAAACCAACCACTGGACTTGTTTTCCAAGTTTGAAGATGTTTCGCTTCCCACCCAGAAAGCTTTTTCAATTCAAGATGTCTGGAGTAGTGTTGAGTTCCAGGCTTATTGGGTAGCCCAAATTAAAGCCTGGCTTAGAAAATATGCTAATTGAACTGAAAAACAGTAAATGATACATGTGTAGAACACGCATCAACAATGTCCTGTATGGTTTAAGTCTAGACAATGGTATAGGCTGTCAAGATGAATAAATTTTCTTATCAAGAAAAACTGTTAAAAGAGACAAATCTAGCAAAAATACACTCAATTATTACAAAAGCAAGAGGACGAATGTGTTCTGGCCTAAGGGATGCCTATGTACTGTCATCATTGGGTTGGCACCAATGTCCTACCATCATTGGGCTGGTACCTATGTCCAGCAGTCATTTGTCTGGTGCCTATGTCCTGCAATTATTGTCTAAAAAGCTGGATACACCCTGGACCAGAGGCCATTTCCTCATAAAGTCACAGAGTGACAAATACCAAACACACATGGATGCACACTTCTGAGGGTAATTCACACATACATGGGTAAAAGGTCTAAACTCTATGTAAAAAAGACCACAATCTGGGGTTCAAACTCAAGATCTTTTTGCCTCAAAGCATGACCATGCAACCCCTGTCTCCAACAGTTATTGGGTGACATGCAAGGTACACCCTGGAGAACTCGTCAGGCCAATTAAATTACAATGATAAGTATAGAACATAACAGAAAGCTTCTAACCCAAGCCATCTGGACACACTAAGGCCCCAAACCTTTCATAGGTACTGACCATAATTTAATTCATATAGTTAAACTCTATAGATCATTGCATTTATTTATAGCTGTAATAACAAGCAGAAAAACATTGCTGCTAAGTGAAAGTCACACTGGCCTACAGATTCAGGCCAAGCATTTGTTGAGAGACTTGGAGAGGAGAGGAGCCAAATACCCAGAGAACAAGCAAAAAAGTCTGGCCACAATTAAAACCACATGTTTAACAACCACAGCACAGCTTAGGGGAATACTCAGAAATTCAAGACTTGTTTTTGTGCAGTTAGTTATCATCCTTTAGACCTGTTATTTGCATGTTTCAAGACCTGCATTGGTTTTAAATACAGACCTTCCAGCAGCTGTCTTGAGCAACGCTGTAACTGTACACATGTTACTAACATGAACAGGTCCCTGAGACTGGCAGGAAGCCACAAAAATATGACAGTGTATACCACTGCATTTTCATATTATTTAACAACTGGGAGGACACAGACAAGAAAAAGGAATATTTCTGCAAGTTTTCGCCACAACCTATCATGAACCTTGCGTCAAATACTGTCAGTATCTGACGTGACGGGGACTTGACCAAACGTCAATATTTGACTAGTTGGGAGTGAGACTGTATTGTAACATCTGAAGCTCCAACATTATTTAAGAGCATCATTTAATCTCTGATTCAAAGATGGAAATGTATGTCCACAAACCTACAGTCCTAGAACATCTCCATCCACATACACTAACAGACTAGGCAAGAATAACATAATTTATAGAAGCATCCCAGAATATCACAGTAACTCTGCAGAAGCTACAGGGTCTTACAGCTCAGACAAGGGGTGCAACTATTGGTTGTGGTCCACAAATGTAAGTATTATGGAACAGTGGCAAGATGAAAGTTTAACCTAAGTGATAAACAGTTCGGTTTGCTTTTTACAACAATGTATGCAAGTAAAACCAACCAGCATGTGGAAGATGGTGCTATGTCCAAATATGACAAAAAAAAAAACACACATTTATGGGACACTAAAGATGACTTGAATATCTTGATACTTTTTGGTAAGATTCTGTGGCAGTCAAAACAAACAACTTGAGGGAATGTCTTGCAGCTTTGTATCATGACACATAACCTGTGGCAGTAAATGAGTCGGAAAAAAGTGAAGCAGCTTGATAAAAAAGCAACAACAGAACCAAAGCAGGCATGTAGAGAGTAAAGGGGAAAGGAGAATAAACAGATGTAGAACTTTTTTGGCAAAGGTGACGCAGACTTAATCACAGCTAAATGTAGCCAGAGCTAAGACTAATAACAAAGCTGATTAGAGTTTTCGTTCTGGGTATAGCTCTGAATTTAATCCACAATTGTTTGCAGGCTGAGGAGAAATGCCATCCCAACAATATGTAGGGCGGTCCCAAACTTCTGAGGTACCAGTTGGTTCTTTGGACAGTGTCCCCTGCCAGCATTACATCATGGCATACCTTTTAATTTTAACAAGCAAAAGAACCAATTTTTTTTTTACACTGGCAGTGGGAAATTAACTGCATCTGGAGTAATCATGTTTGAGCAGATTGGAAGGAAAACACAGAGAGTTGCTTAAAACTCCAGGGTTATAATCCCAAAATGTAAAGTGAAGTTGCAGTCAGTCAGACTCCAAAAATGGCTCAGAGGAGCTGTTGAAAAAAGATCCTTCCTCCACCACTGAGGTGCTTTCCATAGAGAGCCATTAAACTAAGAGCTGACATTATCATGTTCTAACAATGAATGTCTAACTTTGTAAATGTTACATTAAACAGCAGCACACATCAAACACTTTAAGTACTTTAGACTGATATTCATAATAGAGAAGATTTGATGTTTTAGAGTTTATCTAAAAGCTAAGATGTATATTCCTTTTAAACATTAAAAGCAGGCCTGAGGTTTGCAGGATTATTTAGAGAAAGGGTTTCCTGTGAGAGCACAAATGCAATTTACTCAGCTGATTTGCTAAGATAAAAGTCTGGGAAGTCTCAGAATGAGCCTGTGTCTCACACAGCATGCATATCTTTGCATAACTGATTACATAGGAGTTTTGCTGGTGATAGTTGTTTCAATACACTTCCTCTCACATATTTATTAACAATAGGGGGAGGCACATATGTAGAAGTCTTGAAGACTGCTTAATTAAGTTGTAAGGTATTTAGGAAAACCAACTTTCCAAACAAAATACTGACCTTGGATAAAGTTGTATGGATGAGGAGAAATATGTCACCACTGACAGATAAGGTCTAAAAAGGTCATAATTTAAATCTGCCAAATGATTTAACTCCTAGAGTGCACAGGGAACTAAATAAAGACCTTCTTTGCTTGCATCAGCCATCTTTTGTTATGGCATGGTGTATTGAAGCAGCAGCTTATCTGCAGCTCAGAGGAAGCTGTTTAATAAGCTCATTAGGAAGGCAGCTGTGTCTCAGCATGTCCACTGGACATAGGGCAGGTGGTACGAGACAGAAGGACATAAAAAAAAACACACAACTGGTGTACAATCTCTCCCATCCCATGCATGAAGTTCTTAAAGAGCTTGAGAGCACCCATATCTTAGATGCATAAAGGAGCCCTTTCACAGATCCTTTTTTCCAGCCGTTAGACTTAATAATCTATGCCGCTCCCATGAGGCCTAATGCCTTTTTACAACCCTGCTACTGGTTGTAAAGGTTGTTGGTCTGATAAAGAGTTATTTGCACTGTTTCTGGTTCGCTTAATAAGCATCTTACTGATGTTAATTACCACATATGTTAATGATCACAGATGCAGTATTTTTTACCTGTTATGAAATAGTTTTTTTCTACTATCATGTCTTATAAAGTTCTTTTTTTCCTGTGATCCAGCTTATTGCACAATTTTTCCACCCTTCTACGAATTTTCTTTTACACTTTTTATTTTTGCCAGAATGTGCCCTTTTATTATTTTTAATGGTACAGTATTTGTTTTCTTTCAGATATGTGTATTTTAACTTCTGCTTAACTTTTAGAATGTTGTTCTGTTTCATACTATTTAATATTGTAAGTACTTGTAAGATTTTCTCCTTCCTACTCTATTGTAAGTGTCAAACCTTAAGTGTGTGGGATTATGAATAGAAGTCTTTGGCCTAACTGCCATTCCAAAGGCGTTCTGAACCTTGGGACCCATAAGCTCTTTGAAATATCAAGAAATTCTGTTTGAAAAATGTTTCTCTGTTTTGCTAGAGGAAATCCATCCAAATCATATGGGTAAGTTAATACAGAAACTATTGACCAGCAATAAAATCAACCTTCTCCTGTGGTTATCATAGTTTTCAGAGCAAGTAAAATATAACCTGTAAGAAGAGCTGAGGAGCTGACAGCATTTCAGATCACCTGCTACTTTTAAAGACTGTGTATATTCTGCTATTGCACCCTGTGAACTGTATTTTTTATTAAAGATCACACATCCTAGAGTAGTCCATCTATGTAACTGAAATGAATTAAGATGGCAGAACAACCTATGTGCCAGCTTCTGTGCTTTAAATATACTTTAATTGTAACGTTTTTTTCTGCTCCTTGGTGACTAAGATATACTTGACGTATGTTTTAACATCTCTATTGCTGTTGGAGATGTAATGCTGTTATGCTCTTATGCTCTTATGTCATAAACAGACTTCTTTAACAGGACTTAAACTCCAGTTTCTATGGTGCTCAACAAACAGACTGAAAATAAAGCAAAGCCCTCTAATGAGCTCAAGGTTTCATACTTCTCGATAACGTAAGGGTGTTTTGCTTCCAACTTTAGAACAACTTGCTATTTTTATACCATGTCAATATTCTGTTTAATTTACACTTACTGCTTCATCTTATATTCTAAACAGGATAAAACCTGTAGTCTTAACCAATGTTTATGTCATCCTATTTACCTTCCAGCATCGTGAGGTTCTTCAGGGTCATGGATTGCTCCCAGTCCCTCAGACGGAGGTCCTCCGTTATTGTGCTCAGGATCTCCATCTCGCTCCTCAGCTGGGCCTCTGTGTGGATGTGTTTTCCCCATAAACTGCTGGTGTCCTCTGTTATGTTGATGATCTGTATCTAAACAGATAGAGTGCAAAATGGAGGATGTTAAAGTTATCATCAGGAGTTTTATCCACTGTCATGTTGTCTAAGAACTGGTGAAGCTCAAACCTGTAAGTCATGTATTTTAAGGTGATGTATGTTGATGTCATTGGTGAAGGTGTGATTAACAGCTCCAACAGTCCAGTTGACTTCATCTAATTTCTCTCTGAGCCCATTCAAATGACCTGCTGTCTCCCTGAAATACAACCAGGAATTACTAGGATTGCATTGTTGAACATTTTACCTTTTTCGAGCTGTAGTATAAAATTCTACCTCAGAAGAACGTCATGGTCATGAAGCCACCTGGAGGTTCGCGCTACTTCCATGCTTAAACCTGTCAGGTTCCTGCCAGCGGAGGTGCTGAAGGAGGACAACCTGTCGTCCAACTGTACCAAGTAGCCTTCTGACTGAAGGGAGTTAGCCTGGATGTTGCTCAGCTCCACCTCCAGACCCTTTAGGGGAGAGGATTTAGCTGATTCTCAAGTTGAAAACAAGATTTTTATGACAACGTTTAATACAATTTTTCACAATGGCAGATGTTCCTACAGATGTCAGGCTTTAGGTAGGAACTTGGAAAAAAAACACTTAGAAGAAATTTATGAAATGCCAGAGAAATGTATGGATGTTTGTATGGAGAAACACAAGTTATAAAATAAAAAAGAGAAAAAAACAACAAAATTTAAAATGTAATCACCCTGCTATTGAACCAAGTAACACCCGAGTTTATTTTTTACTCTAAACCATCCAACTAGTTAAATCAAATCAACTCTTTATCAGACCTGCTGAATCTAATAAACCTGCAATTCATTAAAATTAGAATTTGATTCCAAGCGTAGGCTTCATTTTAAAATAAACTGTTTAACTGCTTTAAACACAGCAAAGCTTTTTTTCATTACACCATAAAGGATCTGCTCTCTACATAACGGTCTCTAGAGCAGACCACTCATGAAACACAAGAGTGAGACAAAATTCCTGGTTTTTGCTGATAAAGCTATAAAAGGTATAAAAGAGGAAAATTTCCAAGCTGCATTCCTCTGTGAAGTGACTGAGGAAAGTTCTAGAAAGCAATGCAAATCCATTCTTTAAACAATTTTTGCTTAGATAAACACAAATGCAGCACTGTATGTAAACATTTCTGCTTTGTTTTGACAATTTGAATCAGAATCTTTCAAATTTTAATCAGTACATTTGGCTTTCTGATGCTCTTTGAAAGTTTTCTGGAGCTACTTTTGCACATATTTTTTATCCAGTCCTTATTTCTGACCCTATCATAACATAATATTGTTTATCGCAGGCATGAAATAATAGAAAAATTGACAAACGGAAAACAAAACAATAATTGGTGGGCCTAATAAACTAAGTAAAGTGGAGCCAATTTTGCTTTGAACTGCTAATTAATTAAATCAGTAAAGTCACGCAGATGAGACACAAGCCATACCAAAAGCTCTATATTGCTGGTGTTAAATACCAACAAGTTACCATGTTAGCACTTTTATAGATTTAGCAATGGAAATTGAATGCAAAGGGAGATATAAATCTTGACTTTCATAAAGCTCAGAAAACGCACAGATCATTATAACCCGTTTAAGAGAGTATAAAAAAGAAATCTGGATGCTTGGAAGCAAAATACGTAAAAATGTGGAATGACCCTAAAATTTTGCACAGTTCCCTAAATCTTAATTTAGCAATAGCTCAACAGTATTCATTTATTAATGTACATGTTGAATGTTGAAGGGGTGCAAACATCCTGCTCGAAACAAGTACATTGCTGATCAAACTGGATACACCTAGAACTCAATCCTTTTCGCTTGTGTAACCATCTTTTTGGCCTATGGTAAAAGTTTATAAGAGAGAACATGGTAAAATACAAAGGTTTCTGATGCTATATGTTACCTTGATGAGGATCTCCAACCTCTGCAGCCAGTTGCTGTGGTTCTGAAACATGTTTTCCAGTTTCCAGATGTTTTCCAGGAGGTCAGCCTGAGTGGATCCCTCACCCAGGGTCTGCTGGAGCACGTTAGAGTGCTCTGACATCCGAGTCACATTCTCAGTCAGCACCTCCTGGCGCTGTGAAGACACCTGGGATCGAGAAACTGGGGAAAGACAGAAAAAAGATGAGTGACTGGTCCATTTTGAGTAACAGCAAAATTCCCCAAATCATGTTTCATTTAGTATCAATAACAACAGAGAGTGTGGAGTGAGCCAGCGCGGTAATGTTGAGCAGATGTCAGTTTAATTGCCTGGGTTGATTTTAGTTGTTTGCTCCTGCTATGATGCATTGTTTTCATTTTTATTATAATGATTATATTTTATCTTCACTTTGGTTAATGTTTGGTTTGGCTTCAAGCACCTGGTCAAACTGTGCCTCCAAAACCAAATAGTTTGCAAGAACTAATACACATTTTTTCTTAATTTTATATTTTTCTTTGATTTATCCTAATTTTTCATCTTTTTGCAGTTTCGTATTTATTACGAAATCAGCATGGGTGAGTATGGAACAGAAATGGGGAAGCAAAGTTAATCAGTTAAAATGGAAAAATCAAGCAAGGAACAGAAAAAAAAAAAACAAGAAGTTAAATCAGAGGGGATTTGAACCAAGACCTGGGTACATACTGTTAAAGAAAAATGATTATTTTTAGCTTTTAATACAGTTAATCTTATGGCATGTGTAAACACTCTCACTTGAACATATTTCTTAATTTTGAATAAGGCTTTGTTGATGATTTAAAACTACTAATGGGTAAGTATTTAGAGCACCAGGCAATAGAATGAGTATCTCCTGGGGGGTGAATAACAGTTAAGCCTGCAGGAGAGATTTCTGCTTGGTTTACAGAAGGTCAAAAGTCTTCCAGAATAAACAACCAGGGATGGTGTGAAAACTGAATCAGGAAAAAGGCCCCCGCATTCCACAAGCTGTCTGTGGAAGCTTATCTTGTGTTTTATGACTTTAAGAATTCTAGATGCCAGGACAAGCTTTCCGCCTTTTCTTGTTAAAACAAAGAAGCAAATGACCCCAGATGTTTGCAGTAAATTAGGTAAAGTTTTAGGCAGTGTCAGAGATGGCTTTTGGTTGGAGGACCGAGGGCCAGCCCTTTTTGAATGGATTAGATACAAGAGGATAAAGCTTTCTAAATAGAAGTTACAGATCAGATTTGCCCTTGCAACTCTCCAAAGATGTCTCTGTACTCTTTGCTTTCTTTCCTCCTATGTCAGGTAATGGAATGTATGTCTCTGTTGTTCTGCAGTTTTGTTGTTAATTCATAAGTTGTTTTTTGTTGGATTAAATTCTGTGATTCTGTGACGTTCGCATATCTTGCTGGTTTTCCTTGGGGGCCACACGCAGCTCGCTGAGCGCACCTGGGAGAGGAAGAGAAACACCCAACCTTTTTCCAAAGTTAACTATTTAGAATATTTTCTTCCTTTAACAATTGGGGGCTCGTGCCGGTTCTGGAATCTCGGCGGGCGGCTGTTTGGTCCTGATTGATCCGTCTCGGCCCGACGCTTCGGTGTGGTAAGACAGTATTTGATTATTTTTTAGTTGTCTGAAGCGCCGTGTGGTCGGACCGGGGTTGATTTGCTGTGTGCGGCCTCACAGAATTCAGATGCTGCAGAGGTAGATAAAATCCCTTCTAAAAGAGTCAGTTGTTTAAGGATTTGAATAAATACACATTACAGGGAACTGTGGCTAGTTCAAAACAGAGCCTTTACGTTAACTCTGACTTAAGCTGGGTTTTAAAAAATGTATATTCTTTTTACCCTGAGGAGCAATGCCTGGGCCTCTAAAAAAGTATTTTGGAAATTTGTGTATTGGTTAGTTTTGGCTTGTATCAGCCGGAGATTTCGACTCATCTCCAGTGGACTTATAATTATTTGGGTTAATTGGATCGAGTTGTATCACTCATGGAAAAGGACTAATAGCAGGTTAATTGGACCGAGTTGTATCACTCGTGGAAAATAAAGGACTAATAGCAGGTTGGATCACCTTTCTTTGGCACCCTTAATCGGGTTGCTTATAGTATAAAGGACTAAAATAGATTATTTGATTTAGTACGGGTTCAATCGCTCTCCCCAGCTGAAAAAGAAAAAAAAAAAAACCCTTTTGTCACTGGGCGGATTGATTGATCGAATAAACTAAATTGAGGCTTATTTTCGCCTCGAGCTTGACCCAGCTCTGAAGTGTTGGACTGAGAAGTTGAAATGAGAATAAAAGGGATTTTTAAAATTGAAATTGGAAAATTAAAAGATGCGTCATACATTCTTTTAGCCGGCACCTGACATTTTCTTTTCTTTTCTGTCTTTTCTTGACTGAACTACAACGTTGTCTGTGTTTCTGTGTTTTGTATGTTTCTTTGTGTTTGTGTGCGTGCTTGGCTGCGGGTTGATCTATTGCTGTGTGTCTGTCTCCCCCGTTATACAGTACTGTATGTTCCACCACGCGCTGCTGTCTATTCGTCTGTCTGTGTCTGAATTGTGCTGAGATTGTGCGGAAGTGATTTGTGTTTCAAGTTTGTGTTATGAAATATTGTCAAATGTTTTTGCTGGATGTTGTATTACTAACTTTCTGTTAAAATGTGCTTCTGTGGGACAGAGGTGTCTCCATTTTGGTTACAAGTTGTGTTTCACAGCAGGGGGACTGATTGACCCCCCTTATTTGCATTTTGGGAGTGCTTCAGTTCTGTTAGCACTGATGTCCAGCTGACATTTTCAGGATTCTTGGATTTTGATGTGAATTACTCTTAGAATTGTGTTTTGTGTTGAGAAGAAAAGTACAAAATAACAGATTTACAGATGTTTTTACTTTCTCAGCGGGTGAAATGTGTTGCATCAGTTCCAGGCTAGAGCACTGGAATGATCCAATTGTTTTTTATAATACTGTAACATTGACAATCACTTCAATTTCTAGGTTTCCTGACAGGATGGAACACCCTCACTGATTGTAACAAGAGAACAAAAATGAGAACATATGGATGTTTTTCTGCTTAACAGTGTTTTCTACACTGTTAATGTGGGACATGTTGAAACACTAATGAATGACTTTGTTTCTTGTAGGACGATCTTCGTGTTCAGCCCATTTTGCATTTTACATGACCACATGAACGGTTTTTGGGTTTTCCTACAGGGGGTCTAGGTAGCCATTTAATAACAGTGGGCTATCATGAAATACGGTTGTGTGTATAATATGGAGTTTTTAAAAAAAGGGTTCACTAAAAACTGAACAATATTAGACCTGTTGGATAATAATGTCTTTTTATTTTTTTTCAACCATGGTGTTATAATAATTGTGTTTAAGACTTTTACAGGATGAATTTTGGTTTGAAATCTGGGGTAACATCCTGCATCTTTCTTACAATGGGGTGTTGATGAGTCTGCTTGAGTGTGAATGAGAGTGAATGTGTAGGCAGATGGCCTTTGATGGGTTTTAGGATGCTCTGTGTAAATATGACCTCAGTTTAGTGTGTAGCTGTGTGATATTTTTCTTATTTTAATCTATCTAGGGACAGTAAAGGTTTTGTTTCATAAATATGTTTTTATTACTGCTTTACGGAAAATTTTAAGGTAAAGACGATTACATATTTTGGTGTCACAATCTGGTTAAAGCTGAATCATCTGCTTGTGCAGTGAACTTAATATGAAACGAGAATTCAGCCTTGGCTTAAAGCAGATAAATGTAGTTATTAGGAAATTGTGTTATCCACTTTGACTAACAACACTAACACACTAACCTAAATTCTGACTAAATAAACTTGGTTTATATTTCATGTGGGTAACTTATTGGACATGTTGAAATTTTAGCATAATGGGGGAAAGTTCTTCCATTTTTGTTTTTCCACCTCTAAATTGTTTTTCTTTTGGAAATAAGAAAACACAGGGGGATGTTACAAAGATAAGATATTACGGATGGAACTTTGAAATTTACATAATCTCAGTCTAGTTTGAATACTAGATGGAAGATTTGGAGAAATGGTGGAACATCTTATAATATTTTGGTTTTTCAGCAAATTATTATATAACAGTGACATAGATTCCAAATTGTTTTCAAAATGATAATTTTATTATATCAACAGGGGGAGAAGGAGAAGTAGACTCTAATTCCTGGTAAATTTTTGGATATGGTTAATGGTAAATTAGTTAATCAATAATTTTGATTTTTTCATTCAACAATAGTGAATTATGAATTTCTTTAATGTAGAGTCATATGGCCTTCCTGCTTTGCTAAAATATGGTGTATGTGATATAAAAGCTTCTACTAAATTAGATTTGATCATCTAAAATTGAACGGTTTCAAATAACATCTATGCCATGTTTATTTACATTTAAATTGTTGATAGATTTCTGCATCACTGCTGACTTTGATTATATACAGTTGGGTGTAAATTCTTTGTTGAGGAAAATTTCGGTTAAAACTGCTATGAAATTCAAATAAAATGTAAATAATTTCTGAAATTTTAAAATAGGACTTTGTCTTGAAGCGTGGGACAATGATAGGGATGTTTGGTATTTAGTAGAACAATATGCAATTCATAATTATTTGACAAAGTGCAATTCCATCACAACTTTTATAAGTATCAGTACTAGGACATTCTAGAGTTTGTTCTAATTCTTTAATGAGTTTGTGAGGTTTTGATTTTAGAATTTGTAGTTGATATTTGGCACAAGCAGAGTGAATGTCATCGAGGTATTGACCTTTTTTGATTTTGAACAGTAAGTGTCAGTATTTTCTTAATTCTGGCACATCTGATCGTGGACTATTTTAACAACTTTCTATGTTTATTCTTTTTGCAGTTCAGGATTTGGGGCAGTTAGCCGTTTGTGCTATAACAACAACAACTCTAGAGCCACACGGGAGGATGCATCACAAGATAAATTTTTATTTATAATAGTGAAAGTAACAAAATGTGGCAAATATAAGTTTTGCTTTTTAATTACTTTGTATTATTTTTTCTCTGGCAGTTCTCCTTCCTTCTGACTTGATGGCAATCTTGGGGGAAAGGTCTTTTAAGCTCAGAGATCATGGGACGATGTATTTGAAGGGATCTTCTTGATTACCGCATCAGGCCGCTGTTGTTGCTGAACAAAGACATGATGATGCTGAACTGTGCCCATCTTCTGCTGGACTGTTGTATGAAAGCCAA